CTCCTCCTATTCAATTTATTCACTTAACTCCTAACCACCTATTTTGAATATGTAGCCAAAATCATCTTTTTAAGATCATTTTCTTGCTTAAAACCTTCCAGCGGCATTACATCTAACTTAGAATAAAGTTCAGACTCCTTATTTAGTCTTCATGTCCCACAGTTTAGCCACTGCCTGCCTCTCTTGTTATCCCTGTATCACCCTCTGTTTCTCTCTGCCTGAAATATTCTTCCCTTAGTTCTTTATGTAGACATAACCTTCCTGGGGAGACTTTTCTGATTTCTCAATCTCAGATAGCCTCTCTTCCATACAGTCATTCCCGAATCAGATACAGTTAGTTTAGTGATGTATTTAATTATAATGTACTTGTTTACTTCTTTATTTTCTATCTACTATCCTGGAATGTAAGGCCTTTGTTTACTGCTGCTCCCTAATGCCTGTGAGAGTGTCTGAGATCTTAGTGAACACTTGTCAAATATTTGCATGATGTGTAAATAATAGGAAAGGTAAGTAATATAACGGTTAAAAAGTAGAAAACTTGACAATAGAGTTGAATAACATTTCCATCATAGAAATTTAGCATATAGGAAAATTAATAGTTGGTAATGGAAAAAGATGCTCGTAGGAAATAGTATTGTAAAAATAGCATTGGTCTTAAGAGTCTTGGGTTTTAATGCTGACCTTGCCACCTAACTTTGAGAATGCTTCCTAATCTAACCTTCCGTTTCCTTCACATATAAAGCAGGACTGGCAGTATCTCCTGGGTGTTCAGTGTGCATATGTGTGCATTTGTGTGAGTAAGGGCCTGTTGCTGTTCCATCCTTGCCTCCCTCCCTTGTATGACACTTTTAATGGTAGATATTTACGTCAGGCCTACGATATTAAAAGTGATTCAGATGGGCTAGCCTCTAGTGCAGTGGTTAAGGAAACCAGATCACATATTGCCCACTGTGGTTCACATCCTGGCCCTGGTGGCTTGAAAAACATGCTGAGCGCATGTGCATGGAGTGCCCCAAATCCTTACAGGATGTAGAAATGGAGGAAAAAGGATCACGACGTGACTAAGCTCTCTTGGGGGATGCTTTCCCTCTCTGCTCCCCAGCCATGAGTACATGTGCTCTCTGACAATTAAAAACAGTGGTTCACATCATAATGTCCATTTAGGTAACATACATAAAGCACCTGGCACAGTGCGCTTGGAGCGTGTGCAGAAAGTGTTAGTTTATTTCACTTACAGTTGGAATCTTTAGGCTGACTAATTCCCTATTTAATTTCAAATCTTCCTTAGGATTCTCAGAAATATATATTCTTGTATTTAGAGTGTACTTCTGCCTTCTCTTAGAGTGTAAATGCTTAAGAGCGCTTTCCTTATGACATTTATCATAACGATGCATTCATAGCTTGTATTCTATAAATGTTTGTTTAATATTCAGCACGCATTTATTAAGTGCCTCTTAGGTGCAGTGCAAGGAGTTAAACAGAAACAAACTGAAGAAAGTATAAAGGCATATTCTAGCTGTACAGTCAGAAAAACGTAACTAACTTTTGAAAAGATGAAGGTATACTTAATGGGGTAGATTTAAATTTATAAAAATAAAAAATGTTGGCACACTAAAATGTAATAAGTATGGAAAGGAAAGCAAAAGAACAGAAAAATATTATACTGATATAGCCAGTAAAATCTTACTATGTAAAATAGATGAAGATTTGAGAGAAACATATAAGGTCTGCAACACAGTTCTGCTTGATAGATAGTTCAAGGAGAGAAACAGTTCGTACATGAAGAAACAGTGATAGAAAGCCAGTATGGGGAATATATAGTTTTTCTAACAATGTGGCTCAGACATCTCCAAAATACATTTATTGAGTAAAAGAATTGCTCAAGAAACATAACGTGTTGTTGTTTTTTGTTGTTGTTGTTTTATTATTATTATTTTTTTTAATTAAAAAAAACATGTAGGGCAAAAGCATTAAAAGCAAAATGGGTTTTAAACCCAACTCTTTGTACTTACAAGCTGGCATACATACACACATACATACAGTCTCTCTCTCTCTTACAGCAGTTTTAGGTTTAAAACAGTTTGGAAGATACAGATATTTCTCATATATGCCTTTCCCCATATATGTATAGCCTGTAACATTATCAAAATGATATTTGTTACAATTGATGCACCTACATTGACCCCTCATTATCACCTTGGGGTTCATGGCATTTACTCTTGGTGTTACACCATCTGTGGGTTTTTAGAGATGTATAATGACATTTAGACACCATTATGTGTTCTTGTCTTAAGAACTGTGGCCCCTTCCATACCACAGTCTGGTTATCTGGAATAGTGGAATTTCTTGACTTGTCCTTTTTTGAGCCTGCATCCAGGGCCCACTTGGGCCTCTTTGCATGGATACAGGCAGATAACGCCTCTCAAAGTGCCAGCTAAGGCAAGAGAGGGGCAGGCAGCAGGCTAGTGGCAGCAGCTAAAGAAAGCTTAGACTACCTTTGCATTCTGAAATCCAACAGTTCTTTTTTTATTTTTTTTTCCAAGAGGTTTTTGCGATAGGGTGCGTGCGCTCACCAGAAAGACAGAGAGAGACAGAGAGACAGAAAGTGAGAAATCACCTCCCAGGAGGATGGCCACGCCACAATCCCTTCTCCTCCATTCTCCTCTCAGGATCTTGTACATGCATGCACACATGCCTGGTGTGAGTTTAAGCCACCTGATCTAGGACTCGAACTGCAATCAACTACATGGGAGTCTAGCGCCATAGCCATTACGCCAACTGCAGGTCCCTCCAAGAATTCTTATAACTGCATTTCTGGGTAATTTTTAAAAAGAATTCATGATTCCTTATTTCATTGAGTCATTTTACATCTCAGTGGTGTATAATGTTTTTTAAAAGTAAACATGTAAGACAATCAAATGAAAGATACTATATATGCATCATTTTCAATGTAGAACTTTACATTCTTGTCTGTTATTTTGAATGTGTCTTCCTTAAAGTAGGAGACTAGAACATGATTTTTGTAGTTTCATTGGCTTGACTTATAGCTTTTAGGTATTTAGATGTGTGGTTTCTAAGCCTCTATTCTCATTCTTCCTGTGGACCACCTCTATATTAGAGGCAGGCCTTCTCAGGGAAGACAAAGTCCTTACCAAGACCTGTCTGCTGGGCTTGCCTCCGCTCAGCTGTCCCGACCTCCTCGGCCTCTTTGCTGTTTCAGGGCACCTCAGGCTCACTCCCATCCATCTCCTTGGGCTCTCTGCTTCCTCTCAGAATATTCTTCCCCTTAGGTCACCTTGTGTCTCTTCCCTCATGTCTTTCAGAGTTTTATTTCTTTTTCTCTTATTAAAGTCATTCTTGTCAGTGAGAATTTGCCTGACTAGTAGTTTAAAATTTTATCACTCCTCCAAACCCTTATATTCCTCTTTCCTGCCTTATTTCTCTTAAGACAAATCACTATTTAAAGGTCAGAAGTACTGAAAAACTGTTAGAGCTTTTCCCCCTAAATATCTCTCATTTTAAACTCTCAAAATATTAAGGCTCTCTATCTTTTTCTTAAAACAAATGTTTTAGTTTTTATGTCTTATCCAAGTCCCACTTAAAAAAATTAAATAGTTCTCTGAGGCTAGTTAAAACAGCAGTTTTCTTATCCTGCTCTGGATTTCAAGGGTGACTATTTTAGACTCCATTGCATGATTCTTTTGGTATTTCCACCTTATCTAAGTACATGCTTATATTACTTCTTCCAAACTTTTCAGTTTTAGGCCTTCATTTACTTTCTACTGGAGAGGCTGAGACTTGAGCTATCTTACCACCATCACACTGTGTGCATAAACACCTGTATCTAGCTTGCTTTCCCTCCAAAACTGTTAAAGTGTGGTTGGGTTGATCAAGATTTGGTATTGCGGGACTGGCTCGTGACAGTGGCAATGTACTGCTCTAAGGAAGCTGGATCCCACATGGCGACCTCCTGGGTCTGTGTTCTAGTGACCATGATCCCATGGGCTGGAAGACTGGAGGAGGGGATGACGGTGTTAACGGATCTTGTGGAGGGTGCTCGTCTCTCCACCCTCCCCTCCCATGTATGTGCATGTGTGCTGTATCATGACTGAAGAGGAAACAAGTTCTGGTATTGTAAACAAAGCACAATAGTCACAGCTGAGCCACACAATGTCTTATGACTGCTTTTCCTTCGGATACAGCATAAGGTGGGAAATGGCAGAGGGTGAGAGGGAAGGAATCAAGAGGGAGAAAACAAAGAAGCAAAATATATAAAAACAAATGGAAAATTCTTTGTTTAAGATAACATGTATGGCAATATCTTTGAACCAATATAGAGTGTATTATTCTGGATGGGAAAACTCATTTTGTATGCTGCAGTGATACACAGTGAATGAATATAAAACAAATAAATTAAAAAATATATTGTCATGAATTTAATTTGTTTACTTTTCTAATTATTAGTATTAACTCCTATACTCTCCCAATTAAGAGTGTATTTTTTCAGTATCTTCAACCATCTATATTCTGTTTATTTTTTTCTTGAAGAAATCTGTCATAGCTCTCTTTGCTTTGTGTGTTGCAATAAAGCTGTACTTTCCTTTATCACCAGAACAAACAAACAAAACAACTCAACTTTGAAACCAGAGACAACTCTTAGGACTTGTTTTCATCAACATAGCATTTGGGCAGTTGCAAATACAGTTGTTATTTTAAAAATATTATTTGAATAAATCATTAAAAGCACCATGAAAGTAGTGTGGTTCTCTTTATGTGTTCTAATAAAATTGCCTTTTATTTAAAAATATAGACTGTATTCTTATGTTTATTTTAACCAGAGCTTATTAGCCATCACAGTCTTCATATATATTATTCATATGTATGTGTTAATTATATATGTTAATATATATGTACACACAATTAGTATATATGCATTATATGTTATATATATGTGTGTGTATGTATGTATATATATATTGCATTATATTCTTTCTTTGTAGGCTCTCAAAATTAGAGAGAGATGTAATTGCCCACCTCTTCCTGGACCAGACCCTCGATTACTGTTCAAACTCAACATGAAGCATTTTCTTGAAGAATCAGAGAAAGAAGACCCAAATACCACTGCTAAGAAACAGAAAACAGATGTTCTTCTCATTCAAAAACAGGAGCAAATACCGTTAACATACATAGTTGATAAAAGAACTGGCAGTTGATTAAAATTTATGAGACACAAGATATACGAAGACTGCAGCAATTCTTATCATTTTTATGTTTTTTTTAAATGATGTTTGAAATGAAAAAAATGTATATTCAGGGTCAAATCATGTATATTACAGATATTATCTAAATTCTTCTAGGTATTTTTCATGAAATACTGATGCATTTTAATCTTTTTAAATATCTTCAATGAGGAAAATGTCACAGAATAAATTTTCATTACGTATTTTACTACGTTTGTACTTGCTTTTGATTTGAAGGCTGGCCCTTAGTGGATGAGAAACTAGAACATGCTGTAATTGTTATGGAGAGAGTTCTAGCAGAGCCTAACCTGGATTTACATTTACTGGATGGTTCTTATGACATAGGAAACCAAGAGTCTGAAGGTATCTGCGGAAAATGATTTGTATTGGGATGGAATTTCATGGAAGAGAGGACCTAGATAGAGAATTTTCTGGTTTTTACCTGTGGATGACAAAGGCAAACACTACAGGCAAAAGCTGAAGAGGCTATTTTCATAGGGAGGCACAAGAATTGCTAGTATTGATCCATATCAAAGCATGAAACAGCCTGGGTAGAGAGGGTCACTTTCATACAGATGCAGTGTGTTTTTGGTGCTCCGAAGTCTTGATGGAAAGTCATGTCAATTTGGCTCATTGACAGTATTAAAGTTGGAGAATCTCTGCTATTTTCATAGAAGACAACCTCTCTGTTCTCACTGAGGGTCCAGCCAGGAGAAACGGCAACATTTTGCCCCCAAGTTTCCCCCATTCCCTGGGGAGCAGACATCAACAAAGGGGCCAGAAGAAGAAGAGACAAGAAGCATAAGACACATCCCCAGTGATACCCAGAAATGACTGTATCATATAAATGTGGAAATAAGTTTTAAAGTACAAGTTATTTATATATTAAAATAATGTTTTATTTGTACTCTTAAACTGGTGTAGTCTGGTGATGCTTACGTTATATTCTTAAGGACATTTTTCTTGAAATATATTAAATAAATACATTCTCAGGGAGTTAAAGGGGAAGGGAGCTACTTTTATTGAGATCTACTCTGATGTAGGTCCTGTGCATCTCATTGATTACACAACCCTATGAAATAGGTTTTATTCTCATTTTACAATGAGAAATAGGTTTGGAGAGGTTAAATAATATACCTAATACAGTCTAAATGATGTATAGCAATTTAATGATATGGATAATAAAATTAAAAATAAGAAAAAGAGCAAAGTTAGATCTGTCTGACTACAAATTTTAATTTGCTACAGTTCTTAAGACTATCAAAAGGCAAGAACAGGGAACCAGCAGTTAGCATAATGGCTACGTCGTTGGACTCCCACGTAGTTGACTGCGGTTCGTGTCCTGGACCCGGTGGCTTAAAACTCACGCTGGGTGTGTGTGCGTGTGTGCGTGTGTGCCCAAGATCCAGAGAGGAGAATGGAGGAGAAGGGATTGTGGCATGACCATCCCCCCTGGGGGGTGATTTCTCGCTTTCTGTCTCTATGTCTCTCTCTCTGGTGAGCGCACGGGCCCTATAGCGAAAATCTCTCCAAAAAAAAAAAAAAAAAGGCAAGGAACAAATTATATCAGCTGTTTGTTAGCTTCCAGGTAAACATCTCATAATTATGAAATCAGGGACCACATTCATGTCTGCAGGATGGTTTCCCAGGTCCCCCTCTCAGACCTTTCTACTGAAATTTACAGGAAAATCCTAGGGTGAGACAGGAAAGAGAGACTTCTATCTACCTGTAAAAGTGGAGAAATCTCATTTGAGATGTCTTCTGACATATTAAATTTTTTTAGACAACATAATTATTAAGACAAGTTCAGAACCTATTTATGTTTTGTACGATTACTTCCATGGTAATTCTTGATCTGCACACAACATTTATAAGGAAGAGGCTCATATTAACTGTTCTCCACATAGTCATTCTTTATATTTCTGGTGAATGGACTTTTGTAGGATGCACTCTATAACATGTAAAGACATTTAGAGAACATCACCAAGAGGTCAACTGTAAAACACATTGTTAGAGTTCCCTGCAGATTTCCTAAGAAAATGGTGTAGTGGAGACCCTAGTCTGTTTTTATTCTGTCCCATTGTCACATCACATTCTAGAAAACATGTGCAAGTTGACATCATCTTGGAAGAACAGAGGTAGTGTAGAGATAGTTTCTTTATAGTGCATATAAAAAGAGTTTTTAAAATCCATGGAACCAGGACCAGAAGGTATTATGGTAGTTAAGGCACCGGACTCCCACATGGTGAACTATAGTTTAAGTCTCGGATCCAGTGGCTTGAAAATTATGCTAGGTGCATGTGTGTGCATGCCCAAAGTCCCAAGAAGAGAATGGAGGAGAAGGGATTGTGGCATGGCCATCCTCCCTGGGGAGAGATTTCTCACTTTCCTTCTGTCTGTCTCTCTCAGGTGAGTGCAAACTCTATGGCAAAAACCTAAACAAGCAACAACAAAAACCCCCCCATAAAACTGAATGTGAAAGAAATGTTAAATTTTAACTCAGACTTTTAGAAGAAATTAAATAGCAGTTGGAATGTAAGATGTGTACATACATGTTAAATTTTACATGGAAACAACACTTTTGCATTAAATTACTAAACTTTTCTTATTTCTATCAGTGTTTTTCATGTTCTTATAGGATTTAGATGTGGGATGGTTAGCATATTTGTTATGAGCATAATACAATTATATCCAAAGCAAAAACTCAATCCATAATCTAAATATTGGGTTGTTGGAAAAGTCATGATGTATTTTTCTGTGCAAAAATGCGTCAGGACTTTTCTGACTACTTAATAGTTAAGAGATTGTATCCTTTAAAACCAAAATTGTATTTATTGCTGTATATATGATACCTAACAGTTTTTGGCACATTATAGGCACTCAATTCGTATTTCATTGACACTTTCCATTCAACATCAATCACTTCGTCAAAGGATTAAAAAAAGGAGACAGTCATATTTTATGAAATCTATGCTTTTTATTAGCTGTTTAGCCCTCCTAAAAGAGTCTCTTAAATTCCCTGACCCTCATTTCTTTATTTGTAAAATGAGGACAATAAAGCTGTATAGGATGATATGATGATGAAGTGAATGATGTGCTTAAAGCAGCACAAAGTCTAGAGAACCAAGTTAAATAAAAATACTGTCATAAGCACTTTTTTGCCATTATTCATAAATTTGTTTATTTTTAAATTTATTATCATAATCTTGTTTAATATTACATTGAATCACATATAACTTTACAGTGTATTATATTTCTTTTTCCAGAAGGAATACCATGCATATCAGTCAATACAAAGACATTAAAATCCCCATCATCATCATCCGATAGCTTTTCATTTTTCCCCCAGATTATCATTATTATTCCAATTATTTTTTAAACATTCAATCACTATCATTTTGCTCATAAAAAGACTTTACCCCACATAAAATACTTCTTAGACCAGTTCAGTTGACAATACTATCTATGTCATCATCAACAGGTAATAAACCGTATCTGTGTCTCACTAATGTCATGCCTCTCTGTTTGTTCTCTTGCTATCCTTCATACTCTTCTCTCATCCCATTCCACACTGTCTTTTCATCACTAACTATTTTCACTGCTTTTATGCCCGCCAATATTTCTATCTCTACCATAAAGTGCAGATAGTCAGCATATTAAGTAGATACATACAATATCTTTCTTTCATGTCCTGGCTTACTTCACTCAGCATTAGATCTTCTATATCTGACCACTTTCTATCAAATGCCAGGGTCTTTTTTTTAATGGCTGAATAGTATTCCATAGAGTATATGTGCCACACTTTTTCAATCCATTCATCATCAGTTTGTAGACATTTGGGTTGGTTCCATGTCTTAGTGACCATAAATAATGCTGCAATAAAAATTGATGTGCAAGTGCTTTTCCAACTAAGCATTCTGTCCTTTGAGTAGATACCCAGAAGTGGGATTGCTGGATCACTAAGCATTTTTCAAGCACTATTAAATCTCACTATAACTCTGTGATAGGTATTATACTATCCTCTATTATAGATGAGGAAACTGAAGCTTAAGGATAATAAAACTTGCTTGAAGTCATGTGGTATATTTCTTGAGATGGCAAGAAGAGAACAACTCAAACTCAACCAAGAAAATTTATTGCTTTACCTAACAGAAAAGCCCAGGAATTCACTAGCTTCAGGTACAGTTTGATCTGGAGGATCATGAAATTATCAGAGCAATGACTCTTTTTCTTTGAAATTCTTAGTACTGGCTTTGTTCTTCCCTGATGATATCAAGATGGCTTGCAGTGGCTTGCATGGTTACATGTTTTATTCCCATTAAAACAAAACCTTCAAGCTCTAACTGTACCCCATGAAGCAATTGCTGTGGCAGGGATTGGAATTATTCTGATTGACTTGGATCTCTGAAGATCCAACATTGAAAGCGAAGATGTGTACAGCCCACACCATCCAGAGTGGCTATTGCATGGTGGGAGGATGTAGCCACGGGGTCCAGAACTAGAATTAAAACCTGTTGGGTTTGTCCTCTTTCAACAAACAAACAAGATACTTCTTTAAAGATTTGGTCTGAAGAGATATTTCATCTGAGTAAAAATGTAGTTTTACACTGATGTGGTAGTAAATTTGAATTAGCATATTTATTTCACTGTAAGGTTTTATGTTTTACTTTGTTTATATTTTAGTTTTTGTTTTAAATTTTATTTTTTTCATTGATGAGAAATAGACAGCACCCCCAAACAAGATCCTAATGCCACAGTCCACTCCCAGCTCTAGCCAGCCCCAGTCAGCCTAATATCATGGGCACATGTGTGCCTAGTGTTCTCAGGGAGGGTTCCAGGTAAGAACCTAGAACCATGTGGACTGTCCTCATAAACCTTCAAGTTTTACTGCTGTGCTACCATTCAGTTCCTGTTTTGTTTTTTAACCTGAATTCTCTTACATTCTCAGAACCAACTGATGAGATCAGAAGGACAACTGGTATTACTCATAAGGGAGCACACAAAAGCTCTAATGAATTAGGCAAGTTATCCACATATACACTTCAAGTAAATGACTGAACTGGTATTCGAATTTACAGGATTCACTGATTTGCAATACCACGTTCTTAGAAGAGGGAGAGATTGCCTGCGTTTTTATCTAGGAACGGAAGCTCAAAGATATTAAGCAATGTATGTGCAGCACCTCCCGGTTCCTAAAGGCAGAACTGAGATTCAAACCTTCATCTTCTGATAGCAGGGTCTGTGCCCTCCATCCACTTGCTGCCAATTTAGCTGGCAAATCTCATAAAGGAAGTGAGGGTGAACAGTGTGCATTTCTGTTCACCCTCACTTGTGAGCAGCAGGGCCAATACCTCTTTTCTCTTATTTAAAAGTCTTCATTTTAATACTCTCGAACAGTAATAAAAATATCCATTTTAAGCATATTCATACATGTGAAGGATAAAATTCTTGCTAATGAACTTATAACGTGTTTTTATGAGGTCCTAGAGAGTTCTTGAATGTGTGGTGAGATATATCTCTCACCTCATTACTGGGATGAAGACCCTTTCAATGTTTTACCTCTCCATACCTTGCCCCTACTTCCATAAGAGAAGTGAGGCCAGTGGCTCTCAGTCTTTTAATCACCCAGGTCTCCTTATACCTTACCTGGCTCTGTGTGCACGGAGCTTCACACCACAAAACTTTCTCTGTCTAAAGGGTTGGAGTGTAGACTTGCAACCAGGGTCTCACTGCACTGGCTGTTCACATGTTGAGACATTGGGCATGAAGCATGACTCACAGTGTCGTCCTGTTTTCAGGTCTCAGAATTTCTTTGAAAGACCAGTCAGAACCTCTGATTATCATGTGATCTCTGGTGTTACCAAACTTCCAAACAGACAAACAGAAAAACAATAAAAGAAATTTGTG